AAAGCCTTCTAATGTGAGTGCGAACTGGGGAAGATAAAATCGGGCCGGGATCGGAGACTCACAGGGACGGGGGCGATCCCCCTCTGCGGGGAATGAGAGGGGAAAGAGAGAGTCCGAAACTACTAAAGACACGGTCCCTATCGCTGGGGAACAGAAAAACCTCCGCTCGGGGCACAGAAGGACCGTGCATGCCAAATCCCTGCGTGCCAAATCCACGCATGCCAACTCGTCCTGGAGGGGCCGCCAGACGACTGCTCCTTTGAGCTCCTGGCTGGCTGGACCCCTAGAGGGAAGGTGAAGGGCTTAAAACTGGGAGATTTGCCCACGAGTTCGTGTTTTGGGTGATGAGACACAGAGGGACCCAGTTTCCCGCTCTCCAGCGGGCCCAGCGCACCCCCCAGGCAAACCTCCGTCCTTGCTCGCCAACCAGACCTGGAGAAGAAGGGAGCAGCGACTGTGGTTCCACCCGAAGGGCTAGGCAAGAGGTTTGGAATTACCCAGAGGGGATCGCCTGCGAGGTTGTGTCTATGGCAATTTCAGTGGGGCGCGCGGACTGGGATTTGGAAACTAGGCCTGGCCTGGGTGAAAGAGCGTGACCCACTTTGGCTGCGCCCCTGGCACGGGGAGTTTACACACCCAAAAAAGTGAGGTGCAGCGCTGGGTCTGTTCAAGAAGGGACTGGAACACCCCCACTCTCCTCCCCACAACCGCCAAGGCATAACTCCCACCTGACACATTGGATCACACCACGCCCATCCCTGCTAGAGAGCTGCCCTCCTCCTTTTCTTTTGTTTTTTTGTTTGTCTATGTGCTGTCTACAAGAAACTCATTTTAGACTGGAAGATACCTTCAGATTAAAAGTAAGGGGATGGAGAAATAAATATCACGCTACTGGAAATCAAAAGAAAGCCACAAATGTCTATGCACCGAATATGGGAGCACCTAAATATTTAAAACAATCACAAACAGAAACAAGCTTATAGATAAGAACGTGCTAATAGCAGGGGACTTTAATACTCCGCTTACAGCAATGGATAGGTCAACCAGACAGAACATCACTAAAGAAATAATGGACTTGAAAGACACATTGGACCAGATGGATCTGACGGATATATGTAGAACTTTACATCCTGAGGCCAGGGAATTTACTTTCTTCTCAAGTGCGCATGGCACATTCTCCAAAATAGATCACATACTGGGATATAAAGCAGCTCTCAATAAATATAAAAGAATAGAGATCATACCATGCATACTGTCAGATCACAATGCTTTGAAACTTGAAATCAATTACAGGAAGAAGTCTGGAAAACTACCAAAAACATGGAGGTTAAAGACCACCCTACTAAAGAATGAATGGGCCAATCAGGCAATTAGAGAAGAAATTTAAAAATATATGGAAACAAATGAAAATGAAAACACAGCAATCCAAAATCTATGGGATGCGGCAAAGGCAGTCCTAAGAGGAAAGTACATTGCACTCCAGGCTTATTTCAAGAAATTAGAAAAAGCACAAGTCTAGAATCTAACAGCTCACCTAAAGGAACTAGAGGCAGAGCAACAAGAATGCCCTAAACCCAGTAGAAGAAGAGAAATAGTAAAAATCAGAACAGAAATCAACAACATAGAGACCAAAGAAACAAC